TTCAAAATCGTAGAATGGACACCCCTATACATATATATGTATGTTTACATGTATGTTTTAAATCCACTATTTGCAGAGCTTCGGAAAGTGTAATTAATTAGATTGCCATTACACATCAATATATACGTGTATACATACAAATATATGTATATTATATATAAATGCAATCGTGTTTCACCACACACACCTATACTCATAGTAGATATGTATGTATATGCCTTTTTGGTTTTTATATCTATTAGTCCATTTCATTATTAGTGGGTCAGTGCAGACAAAATACATGGTCCGTATGGCCTCTTCATAACAAAATTATTTACAAGAACTCTTATGATTGGTTGACGCTTGCGACCATATCAGCTGTGTCCTCCAGCTGTGACTCACTTCCAGCCACACTGCCAGCCGGCAAAACACACTATCAGGGCCTACTATTGTTATTACCACTACTGTTGTTGCTACTTATACTACTACTACTACTACTACTACTACTACTACTACTACTACTACTACTACTACTACTACTATTTAATGCTAGTGACGTGCGGCAGTTTCAATTTCAATGCACTCGAATATGAGAATGTGGAGTATTCCAGTGGTTTTGAACCAATTCTGCTGTTGCTGCGCCTGCCCTTGACGGCAACCACGCCGACCAGATCGCGTGCTCTTCCACAGTAGCTCTGTTTGTTGTTGTTGCTGTTGGTGCTGCAGTGAATTAAATGCATCTATTTGAAACCGCATTTAGTCCTTTAACCGCACCATGGCCCTGAGCGATGGTAATGGGACCGATGTGACTACGCAATGATTTGTAACTACACTTTTATTTATGTGCATATATAAATATATACATACATATGTATGTATACGAATTCATATAAGTATGTTGATATGTATGTATAGGCATCCAACGCCCGAACTAGTGCAGAAGTTGGTCAGCACTCAGTTAGTTCTTACCCGTTACAACAAATATTACATATAAATCCATGTCTGAGCCGCTGAGCTCTTTCTACCAACACTCATATGATACAAACAGACATATGTACATACGTCTTTCAGATAAAATTTACTGATAACGTTAATAAAAATGTATGTGTATAATTCATATACAATACATAAGTGTAAGAAAATAAAACCAAGGTCAGGTCATGTAAACATAGATCCAGGGAACAAACTCATTTGACGCGTCCTATGAGTAGAGTTTCATAGTCTTCAGATCCTCGTCTGAGACAGGTTGTGTTTGAACTCGCAGCAAGTGATTCACAAGATGTTTTCTGCGTCCTGCGTCCAAATAAAGATGTGACTGTCCAAGTGCCTGAGAGGCGATTCTGACTTCGGCTAATGCCTACAGGTGAGATCTCTACGTAAACTTCCTGGGACAGCTGAAAACTTTCGTTAAATGTAATGGCTTTCAGAACAGCGAAGAAATTTAAAACTCTAACTCTATTCTCGCCAGCATTTATATTTTGGGTAACTCTTCTTCTTATTCTGTGGTGGTTCTTCAGAAGTTTTGACTTAAGAGATGAAGAAAATTATTTTTGATTTCCACACCAATCGAGGTGCTGTCTATCTCATCTGCTTTTTAATGCTTTATTCAACCATTGAAAGTGTTATTTTTCACATTTTACTTATTTACACAACTCAGTTGCTCGTACGAGCACATCGCCGCCGTCAAGTTCCACTCAACCATCAATTTGATTCCTCTACTCACCTCGCCACTTTGCACTGCGCCATGGAGTTACTTGGTCTGCTGCCGTTGATGATGATTGCCGACTGCTTGGCTTGCTTGGTTGACTTTAAAGAGCGCTGGCGTCATCATTTCAGAGGCCCTTTCAGCAAATATTGTAAATAACATTCAACAAAGGGTTCGCGTTGGATAGGGATGTGGAGGGATTGAGCTGCGTTGAGTTAAATGAGAATGCGAAAGTCATAACGACCGACTGAGTGCTTGTAGTAGTGGTTGAATGGACTTATTGTCTTCCATCTCCCGGAGTACTATTTGGTTATCATCATTGAATCACTTTCTGCTACGATCCTCATGCGTTGGAGTCGAATTGTCAGCCACAATGATGGTTTTTCATACATTTAAGTATATACAAGTACAAGTACAAGTACAGAAATACATACATATACACTACACACACACATTGCCAATGTGCAAACATTCGCTTAGAACTATGCCTGACTAGCTCCAGTGGGCTGTTATGCATATGTATATACATATAAATATAATATTTATATGTGCATACATATGCAACGGAGCAAGCACTGCACGGGAAGACAAGAAGAAACCAGAAACAACTCGCAAACATACATATATATTTGGTCGGTATTCCAATGCCAATGCCATTATCAAAGCATATAACCAACTACAACAACATTATTTCTCTTATTTCTGCAGGTTTTGTGCTCATTGTTGTTAATTTTTTTAAGTTCTGTGGAAGGGCAGAGCGAGCTCCATTGCCGAGGCGGGTTGTATAAACAAACTCCATTTACCGCGCCGCCATCCCTGGCCCGCGGGAAGACATAAACTGAGTACCCAAACGTCCCTGGCTGCCAAGCTGGTAGAGAGCTCTTGCCTCCGCTGCGCTGTGAACGTTGTCGACATTGGTACCGCGTCTTTCCCGAAGTAGTGGGTTAAGCACTAGAACAAAAAGTGACAGTGAGGCAATTTTTTACATATTTTTATTTTGCTTTTTATGGTTGGTTGCACGAAGCCCGGGAAGTTTATGTGCACGAGTGTTTGTGCGAACAAACATCTATAGCCATGGATTCCCATGTACTGTAAGTACGAATGTATGTAACTGTAATGATTTTTAATACCTTAATGCCTTTTGCTGTGTCTAGGCATAGTTCGCATACAAAGCTATCTCATGCATAGCAGAGTATGTGCACATACACATACATACATATAATACCACAGCCAAAGGTTTACATTTTGTTATTCTAGCTTTTTATCTCTTTAACATTTGTACATTCCATCATCCGCGAATCCACTCCCTTAGAGTTGGTGGTAGTTCCGGATTTGCTATTACAGAGGGCTTCTTCGGTTTTTAAGACAGTTAAAGTTGAGCTTCCCGATGCGGGGATCTAGTAAACCGGGTATTTAGCTACATTCCATGTCAGTCGGCGTAGTCGTCGCGCCATCTTGAGGAAACGATGGGCGATGGATCACGAACGCAGGAAGAGGAAGAGTGTCCGAAGTGTTCATGGAAAAATACAGAGAATTGTCGTAATTTAGCTCATTGTGCCATCGGCAGAAGAATCTTCAAGTGGCTGAACTAACTTGAAATTCATTAGAATGCTTGTTAAGCCCTCTCTCAATGGTTCGGTTGACAAGAAAGTCGTAGGGAGTTCTCTGTACAACTGCGTTCTGATTTTTACGTTCTCTCCTTAGAAAAATTTGTCCGTTCAAAATTAACTGAAATGTTCTCAAGGTCAAGGTGAAATAAGCGATGCTACCGGAAGAATCGTGCCAACATGTTGATAGCTTAAAGGCATTCAGTAGTGCATCTTGCAAAATCTTACAGAGTCAATTAAATTCTTCCTCTTTGTCTTCCTCTGTCTTAACCAGGAAGAACTGCTTTGAAAACTTTCAAAGCTGCAGTGCTTTCATTCATTTTAATGTCATCGTAAATCTCTTGAAGCTCATCTCTTCATCGGTTACTCTATTCGCCGTCCCTAAGGCCCCAAGGTCCAAACATCGTCCAAACCTCTGCACTATGTATGTATGTAGGTGTAAGAAAATGATGAGATATAACTTTACTTTTTAAAAGCCTGTAATATCCGTTGAGAGATTTGGCTTGAGATTACAAAACTGACCATTGGTGCTGTTGCTGCTGGTTCTCAGATGAAAGAATTACCAACGGAATCCATGTGCATACATACATATGTATGCATGTTTGCTATTCATAAGAAATTTACTTTTACCCAAATTTATAAAAAAGTATTTGCTGTTTGTTATTTTTGAATGCTGCAAAGCAAAACGAAAAATCTATAAAAATCAACTCAAATACATCAGTATATGCATATGTATGTATGTATGTATGTACATATTTACATATGTATTCCATATCCATATCTACATATGTACATATGTACATATCGGATGTACATATATACCGTACATATGATTGGAATAATATGCCTAAATCTTTACTGTAAATATGTATATAAATCCATGTGCACATATATAAGTACACACATACACACATTTATAAGAAGCCTATGTAGATAAATGTATGTATTTGGGTATTTAAAAGAACTAGCATAAATACTTTTACTAGACAGTAAAAATAAAAGTACATTTTCAAGTTCTCTGCTTCTGTGCTTCTCTGCAATTCCCTGCGCCTTTTATGTATGCATTTCAGGCAGCAGTGATGCTTGCAGCCAGCCGGCAAGCGAAAAGAAGTGTTTTTTGTTGTTGAATTTTTGCCGGTTTTCTGCAATTGTTTGTAAAAACAAAAAAAAAAACAATCTAGCTATCTCCCTTGCACAACAACAAACAAGCTCTTTGGTTCTCTACGGCATGACCAACAAATTTGATTCGAACCGAACATGTTGGACACTGATGTTCGATGTGCGATGAAAACAAATTTGTAAAACTTCTGCTCACTGCGCAGTTACAAAAAATGGCAGCAGCAGTGGACGCAAGACGATTCTGTGACTACGAAATGTTGTTGTTTTCCCATTGGCCTTTGCTTGCCCTGTCACAGCAGCGTCAATATTTCTGCTCTCTTCTGACAAGCTCAGTTGCCGCTGTGTGTTTGTGTAATTGCGCCGTTGTATTTGACTTGTGGAGTCTTGGTTGAATACTCTGCCGGCGTCTGCTTTAGCGTTTGAATTGATGGCGGCGGAGGATACAAAAGTTTGCGCTGGCGTTCGGTTCGAAGGTACGAGCGAACTTGTTGCTGGCGCAAAGTGGAAAAACTGTTTTTCTGCGAAGCAGCGAAGCTCACGCCGACAAAGTTGCCAACAAATGGAAATAGTTAAAATTTCGCTTTCTGCTGGATAAGTTGTGTTGCGAACAAGAGCGGAGTGCGTTGTTTTGTTCATAGTGTGTCAGCAGTGAAGTAGTTGATGAAATAAATGAGCAAAAACTACAAAGTGCTTATGAAATCAACAATAACCAAAGTGAATGCGAAACAATAAAGTGTTAACTGTGAAAAGAAGAGAATTGGTAAACGAAGGAAAAGTGCACAAGCACAACATTAAAATAAATAATTAAAATTCAAATTTTTAAAGCATCGAGAAGAGCAAAGCATGCCAGGGGTGTAGTTGATCGAACTGCTTTGGCTTTGAACTGAAATTTTCGAATTTGCTATTTTGACAATTAAAACAAGAAATATTTTGGATTACTTCTATTTCGATATTTGCGAAACTGCCATCAATTGAAATCATCAACAAGCGAAAGTGGAATTAAAGGAAGTGTCAAAACATGTAAATAAGTTTTTTGTACGGAATTTTCACTCGCCTCAATTCTTATTGGAACGATTTTCAAGCAGATGTTCATCATTTGCAAACGTTACGAAATCTACATTAAATTTGAATAGACAACAGTAATAAAAAAAAAAAACTAAATAATATTTTTAAAAACAAGCCTCAGGAATCATAATCATTTGGATAAAAGTAACAGCTTATGAAAACATAGAAAATCATTTTAAATAGAACAGTGAATCCAAGAAATAAAAATCCTCGTAAAAGCAATAAGTAAGAAAAAGCTAAGATCGGTTGTAACTCGTTATTATTAGAATGAAATTGTGAACTTGTATTAAGCTCGCTTTGCTTAAGTTGACTTCTGACTTCAGTCCGATTATTATTATCGAACGGATTTTTTTAAAATTTTATTTAAAGATATGAAAAGAAAAAATATTGGGGAAAAGGGATATTTGTGGAGATCTCACAACGAATTTTCGATTAAAATACTAATTTTCGCATTTAAAATTTTTTTGTGAAGGAAAATATCAAATTTCAAAAGTGCTAATTCCTTTTTATTTTTGATACAAAGAAATAACGAAAAAATGGGATACGTGTACCGATTTTGGTATTTTTTTTTTAAATAATTTTTTTTTTTATGAAATTCTACTTTGACGGACGGACAGATATTTTTCGCCAGTTAGATGAAAACAAGAGAACAGAAAATATCGAAAGAAAAAATAAAATAAAATTTTGAATTTGTTTACAGGATCAAAACAACCAAATTTAGCAATGAATACAAATTTTAGAAACCAGAAAAATCACGCATCAATAATTGAAAAATATGCATCCCATTAAATTCGAAAAACATTTTTACTCGTGGATGTGAATAAAAAATTAGAAAGTCGATAAAAGTAAAAAAAATTAAAATCGAAATTCATTCGAAATTCAAATGCTACTTATGGCGCCGCGTCGCGATAGCAATAGCGCCAACAGCAGCACCAGTATTTTAGTGCAACACCAGCTTCAATCCCAACAGCAGCAACAGCAACCCCAGCAAAGTCAACAGAATCTTCACGCATTTTTATATTCAACATCCTTATTTAACGGGACAAATTTGCTGGAATCTACCAACGGCAGTGCTACCTTGATCACCAACGGCAACAACGATAGTTCTTCCACCGGAAACAACAACATTATTAGTAACGGCAATAGCGTTATGTCACCCATGCAAACTGCTAATCTGACACATTCAACGCTAAATGGGTCTGCCGGTGGTGGCCCGAATACCCACAGCACCCAAAATGGCCACCAGACCCATCATGTGGTCAGCAATATTAGCAATAATACCAATATCAATAACAATATGAATGGTAACAGTAACGGTAATATTCATTCAATTGATCAATTTACGCGCTGCTGTTATCCCAATGGGGAATGCCTAAAGTTGGATGCCTGTCTGATTGCACTAGATGAACTGAACGACGTAGTGCGAGTCCTTTGCAATAATGAGAACTGTAATATGGGCCAGTATATGCATCGTGAATGCTTCGAGGTGTGGGAGCAGTCTGTACTATTGACTCTTAAGACTATGGGCAGAGCCCGGTCGTGGTCTGATCGTCAGCGCACCCAAAATTTGTGGACCAAAAAGGGCTATGACTTGGTATATAAGGTGTGTGTGTGCAAATGTGGACATGGCCATATCCGTAAAGACTTGGAGTGGTCGCCGCCACCCAAGCAGGCCACAACAACAATGAACGGCGGTCAATATAGCAACGTGAGTAGTTCAACTGTTACTTTGAATGGCAGTGTGGGCCAGCAGCGAGTTATGTTGGTGAATGGTGGCAATACCAATGGAAACGGTATAAGCAATAACTCTGCTGAAGACGATGAAAAAAAGAAGAAGAAGAAACGAAATCGAAATAATGCTTCTAAATCAACACCGACATCCGCAAACTCAACTGGCTTTGTGGTTGCAAATGGACAGCATCAACAACAGCAGCAGGTACAAATGCCAACATCCACCCCGCAGACCCAACAGGCCTTGCAACAACAACCAACATCGCAGGTTGTTAATCAGCAGCAACAACAGCCAAACACACTGCTCAATGGCCAACAGAATGGTTGTGGAAATATTAGTAATGGCATCAGTGCCATATGTACCACCAACAATACCAGCAAAACTGTCACTGGTAACCCAGCCACCGGCAATACCATCAACACGTTAATTAGCAACAACAATAATAATAATCAAATAAATGCGTTAGTTTCGTCAAGTGTTGGCGTTATTGGCTCTGGTTTGCACAATAGCAACAACAATGGTAGCAATCAACCACTGCAAGTACAAGCTCAGCAGCAACAACAGCAGCAACAGCAAGCTGTTGTCTCATTGAATAATATTTTGGGCTTAGATTTGCGTGCACGAGCCGACAGCTTGTCATCGAGCGGTGGAGATGGCAGCGGGTCCACATCGCCCTCAGCCTCCCACTCAAGCGCCGACATTTCCATTTCGCCCATACACCAACAGCAGCAGCAGCAGCAACAGCAAACCAATCTGCAGTTGCAACAGTACCAGCAGAACTTGCTGCAGCAGAACAATTTATCAAAGAGCATTTTGAATGGTGCATTAAACGGCTGTGCCGACACAATCCAGCGTAGTAATGCACTCTTGGCGGCGACTGTTGCTGCGGTCGCTCAGCAACAGCCTGCGGGCACAGCAGTTGTGGGCGGCAATATTGGCGCCGTAAATGGTTTGAATGGGTTAAAACAATTGAGTCTTTATGATCAGCATTTGGTGCAGCAGCAGAAGAATAAGGAGGTGGAACTCTACTCGGAGCGTGTGCGGTAAGTGCGAATGATAAGCATAATACCTATGTACATATGTATGTACGAATATCATAGTCCATGATTTTTACAAATATCTGAATAACTTATTCAAAACTTTTTACAAAATATCAAAGTAGATTATCAAACCAAAATTTGGTTCAAGTACGCACAAACCTGATTGACTGATCTAAAATTTAACTAATGGAAGGTTTCCTTAATGCTGGAAAACCTAAATTTATTATTATAAAAAAGGGTACTTTACCTGTTTATAACTCCAATAGATTTCAGATTTGCTCCGTTAAATTTTCCATGTGTTGTATGTGCATATGCATGTACAGACATACATATATTAATTAGGCATTTGTGTCCAAGCCCTTTATAATTGAAATGTCCATGTAATAACAAATGTAGGCATCAAAATACTGGAATAGCTAAGTATATACTTATCTATATGTGTACCTTTGTATGTACATACATATATATGTTCCTTCTTATAGAAATTAATTCCAACACTTTTTAATTAATTTTTTTTTTTTCACGCCTCAGTACGTAAAGAGGCGAACCTTGTTGTTGTTGTTTTTGTTTTTGTTTTTTATTTTGAAATCATAAGAAAAAAAACGTCAATAAATGCCTATTTTCGGCACATCAACAATTCCATTTTCCGTCTTTATTGTCTCCCCTTTTCTTCTAATGATTCTTTGCTTGACTTTCGTTTTAATTTAACCAGCTGTGAATTAGTTTCACCTATCCGCTTTCAAGGCCATTCGCCTCAGTTTTTTCAATTACTCTGCATTTGAATTTCAATATTTTTGTAGGTTTTGCGAATATTCAAATGTGTTGGGAGATTTTTTTATTAGTCTATGTATTAATTAAAAGATTATATAAATATTTTATAGATTTATTTTAAATTATCTAATTTAAGTTCTCATCGCCCACCGCTGACTACTTTGCCTTCCCTCCATTTATCCGCTAACTCGCTTGGCGTTTATTTCTCTAGTCGTTGTGTGAACTTTATCACGTTCTCTACTTCTATGTTTGCACATCTGCAAACTTATATTCATACATACATACACACATTCATACATATAAAAGTACATATGTACCTAAACAAAGTGTGTTCATTGCGCGCTTATTTGTGTCCACGTTTGAGCTGTTTTCGCGAAATTGAATAGCTTTAAATAAATTGAGAATGATAATTGCTCTATTTTGCTTTGAAATCCGGGAGTAAGCAATAAAATTGAAAGTGAAAATAAAGCAGCTAAAAATAAAAAGTGAAATAAAATAAATTATGTATATATTCTTAGCTTTAAGCGAACTTTCTTTTCTTTCGCTTATCATTTCCGAGTTTATTTCCCCTCTTTCTACGTACATATGTATGTACAGTTCTAAATACTAAATGCATACACATATATTCCGCATCAACTCCCACCAATGCTTTTCTCCAAATTCTTACATCTTCCATTGTGTTTACATTTTTATTATTTATTTTTCACTTTTACTTTCACCTTTATCTCAACTCTTCGCTTGCGCTCTCACAGTTTACCGGTACGCACATTTACGGACGTATTTTTAGCGGCAATTGCTTGCACGCTGATTCTTCAAACAAATTTGTTGTTATTTTTATTTTTTATTTTGGCATTATTAAATCATTTTACATATGTACATGCATGCATTCATACACGTACATACATATATTGTAAAATCATTTATTTATTTCATTCGCCTCTCTTATGACTGTAACGCACACGTTTTGTTGCCTTTTGACGAAAAAACAAGTTGCCGGCATTTATCATTTCGCCCAATTCTTCGTTCTTCCCCTGAGTGGCCGCTGCTAAACACGCTATTGTTGATAAACAAAAGTATAGTAAAGCCAAAATGGTCAATGGTTTGCGCGCGAGCGAGTCGCTTGAAGGGCGAGCAGGTTGAATTATTAATTTCTTCGTATACACGTACATCCATACAAACACACGAGTACTACATACGTGTACATCAATGTGTTTCTCGGTTTTTGCGTTTTTTGATTTCACTTTCTTCTCGTCTTATCTCAATGAATTTTGTGTATTTTTGTGAATGCTGGCTATTCCACTTCCCATTTCCACTCATGGCCAAGGTCGCTGCGGCGTTTGAAGCTACCGTACAATAATTTGTGATTTGTGATTATTTTATTTGTTGCTTTTTTTATAACCAAATTCCTCAAAAGTGAGCATAATTGTTTTGCACCAAATACTGTTATTAATTTGTTTCTCTTCCCTCTTTTTTGTACGGGATTTTATATTGAGTACCAAAAACTGTTACGGTTGTTTGGGTTTTATTTAAATCGCTGCACCAAAAAAGTTTAAACGTTTTAACTTACAAAACCAAAACGCTGCACAGCAGGGTTTTCGGCTTATATTTAAACTAAAGTATCAATACACATTTATTTTAGATTAGGTAATAATAATTTAAAAAAAAAAAAACAAATAAAAAAAATACTATTTTATATATGTTGAAAGCTTTTTGTTTTTAATTCCATGCTTTTTTTTACAAAGTGGGACAAATTTTGCAATTAGTTTAAAATTACGGTAAGTTGGTGTTGTCTTTCATTTATCATCCAAGAATGCAATAAGAACATCGCCCAGAAGTTCTTTGTATATTTGAGAGTTAATTTTGGGTGGTACAAAGTATATTTTCGCTTTACCTGTCCATGACAACGCCACCCATACCATAACGCAGCCACCTCCAAAGTTTCTTTTTGACATACTCACATCGTACCGATAATAACTGTATATGAGTCTCCGCAATCGAAATTAAATTTTTGCTCGTTGGAAAACACAACAATGCCCCACTCAGTTGACCACTGTATGCATGTGCTTTTATATCAATATGAAATGAATCTTAAGTTGAATGAAGACACCATATTTCAACAGGATAACTCTGTCATTCACGGTGCAAAAGAGTCCTTGAAATGGTTTGAGGAGCACAACATTCCGCTTTGGAAGTGACCCCGTGCAGTACCGATTTGAATCCAGTGGAGAACATCTGGAGGTGCATGTCGCCCAAAAAACCTGGGCAAATAGTCCAAAGAAAACCTTATAAAACCGTGGAGGAAACTTGGGACGATTTAGACGGCACAATGTTTTAAAATTTTGTGAACTCGATGCCAACTCGTGGTTTTTAGTTCAATTCGAAAAATAAGTTAATGCGATTAAACGAATATGTGACACTGCACAAACATCCATATGCGAAAAAGTTACTTCCCCAACTATTTATTATGAAACATGAACTGCTGATATTTAATTCATTTTGCCTTTCATGCTAAAAAAGAAAGTAGCTGAGCAATAATTTTTTGGTTCGGTTGCGATTTTTGCATTACGTGAGACTTTCATTTCCGTCATGCCAAGTTCTACTATCATTCGTACTCAAAGTGAAGAAGTAGACTAAAACGATTTAAAATATAATCCCAGAAGCCCAGACATAAGTAGTTTTCGCTGATAAAGTTTCATGCACCAATTTTAGCAAAATGCTGGAAATAGTTGTTTTTGTACAATGTTTTTTATATTACTTATTGTTGCACGGGACAATCCCTCTCCCAATACAAAGAGCCGTGCTTAAAGTTTTAAAACTGTTTCGAAATCGAGCGAATGATCCGTTCTCGAAAGAGCGATCCTGGGAGCGATTACCTATTCATTGGAAAGGTTTTACATCTGTTAACAATACAGTATTCGTCAGCTTCTGCCTCTGACAGCAACAACATTCCCACATCTTTTGCTTCTTCGAAATTATTCGCTGTGGAAGTTCTGCAAAGAGTGGTTTCGACTTTCGGCTTCAAAAATGGTGATTTAAGAGTAGCAGGCCAAGAGCGTATGAAGCTGATGAATGCTGCTAAAACCAGGTGAAAACATTGATGCAAAACGTTTTCGACTGCAACTAATGCGTTTGAGCCGTGCATAGCGTGAAAAACGGCCAGAAACGATACGATACGGCTTAGGCGGTCACCGGTTCGGTTCTTGAGAAGAAACTTAAGATGGACATGGGATACATTTGATGAAGTACCAACACCACAAGATGAGCTGAGTCAGAACTGACTTGTTTTATCAATCTCCTCTCCACGTATCTGATTAATTACAAAAACAATAAATGATACACAAAGCAAGTGAAGAATGCTTTGGTTTTCTGGTTTTCCACCACACAATTACTTCTACCAGTAGGTGCCGTTATCATTACAGCATCGTCATCATAATCACAATAATCACAACCGCATCAATGTTGCTGCCACCGCCGCTGCCACTGCCGCTGAGAACGCAACTTTTAATTAAACCAAGCACTCCTACGCAAACCCTCAACCGATAAGCCAATAGACAAACAAAGAGACAGACAGTTAGCCGCCTGCGTGAAGCACGTGAGCTGCTGGCAATCGCCCACCCTTTGCAGTATTGCCAGGCATTACACGGTAATAAGAGCTGGGATTGCGCTACGCAGTCATGGCGGCGTATGTGAGTGTGGTAAGGTGAGGTTGGAAAGGCCGCGGAGAAAGCAGGCTACTATGATATACATATGTACTTTTTGTCTGTTGTTGCTGTTGTTTCGCTTGCACTCTGTCTGTCTGCTTGTCTGTCAGTCAGCTTGACAGTCAGTCTATCAGATAATTGCCTGCAAATGCATGCGACTAATTCAAAAAGCAACAAAGTTTGTTTTCTTTCATTCCCACTTTCAGAACTCAAATTCTTGTGCTTCCGCTTTACTTTAAAATTCAATAGATTTGGGAAAACTTTTATTTATTTCAAATAAGAGGTAGAATTTCCGTTACTTTCTAAAATAAACACGTCATCCATATATTTCGTAAAAGCTTGTGAAAGTTGACCTAAGTTCTGCATTAAATGTATTAAAAAGTATTAAGTAATGTTTGACACGACCGAAGCTTTTCTCAATATCATGTATAATTGAAAAAAAGGCTTTTCCGCTTTGATATGCAAGCTTATTCTGAATCTGAAAGCTTATTTTTAGCTTGCTTTCGAAAGCCCTAGCGAGAACAAGTGGAA